AAAAATCAAATAATTGCAATAAAACTTGACATTGATTTTGCTATTACCCAAAACTGGTTATTTAATTTTCTCAATTGCCATTTATATGAATAATGCATATTACTGATTATGGTGCAATAACACATACATTATACTACTGTAATATTTATACTGATGAATCATCGCTAAAATCTACCTATTTCTATTAATTGTAATCTAGTTATGCTTGCACCAATCTTAATTAATAAATATTATTGTGTATTTATATTAATCTTTATTAAATACTAATTTACAGATTATCATTGTCTAAACCAGCCTAATAATAGTCAGATAACATTAAGTTAGCCTTGTACAGTAAGTATGTTGTATTGTGTGTTTGCTTAAATAATACTGTACATGTTATTACCATTAGAAAAACACATGTTATAAGTGTGAAAGTATAAAAATAATACAAGTCACATTTTGTTTATACTTTTATAGTGAACACTAGTGTTATTATTATTACAGTCACAATCTGTGTAAAATATTTTACGTATTTCAATGTGATAAAGTTAAATTCCTACTGACAGTTTAGACAAAGCGCATTTAAATTTTTAAATCTACCAATCGTATAATTTAATATTGTGTACGTGTTATATACTTTAAATTGTGCACTTTTGTATTACAATATCTATTGTCCTAGCGATTGTAGCTAGGTCATTTACAATATTTACTTTTACAAACTTTGCATTGCGTACTTTGCACAGTGCATGTGATCATCATCAAACGTTATCATTATTATTTATGAGCGTTAATATATGCGCATAGCATTATAATTGAACATCTATTTCATTTAACGTACACTAAATATACAGTACATGTATTGTCATAATGAGTGTTGATTATCACAAATTTTATTACGTTAATGCAATATTTATTTAACCATTTTGATATTGCTATAAGTTTACGCATCATAATAACAATTAATAACACAATACAATTGATATAACTATTTATGTGTTATAATTATAATTGAAATTAAATGTCATTGAAATAAGTGCCCAAAAAATCGCGAAACAATGGCTACAAAAAGTGGCAAAGATTTGATACAATTAGTGAATGAACTTCAGGACAAACTCAATGGTCTGGGCGTCGAGAGTCTGGCCATAGATTTGCCGCAAATCGCCGTAATTGGCGGCCAATCGGCCGGAAAGTCGTCAGTATTGGAGTCGTTCGTTGGCCGGGATTTTTTGCCCCGCGGGTCGGGTATTGTCACCCGTCGGCCGCTAGTGTTGCAACTCATCCACAATAAACACAACACTGAATGTAAGTGTCTTAATTGAAAACTAGTGTTTCAAACTTTATAACTATTCCCTTCCCCTCTCTATAGCTTACGGAGAGTTCCTTCACGTGCCTAACAAACGGTACGCAAATTTTGCCGAAATCCGGGACGAAATAGTGGCCGAAACCGATCGGGAAGTGCGGGACAGTACGGGAATATCGGCCAAACCGATTAACTTGAGGGTTACCTCGCCTGATGTACTGGACTTGACGCTCGTTGATTTGCCCGGCATGACTCGGGTACCGGTGGGCAGTCAGCCCCGCGATATCGAGTCACTCATCGAGACAATGCTCTTGGAGTACATCCGACGAGACAACTGCCTGATACTGGCCGTCACGGCCGCCACTCAGGGTATGTCAGAGAGAGAGAGAGAGAGAGAGAGAGAGAGAGAG